ATGGATGGTTGGATGGATGGATGGATGGATAGAATGATATATGGATGGATGGATGGATGGTTGGATGGATAGATAGATAGAATGATATATGGATGGATGGTTGGATGGATGGATGGATGGATGGAATGATATATGGATGGATGGATGGTTGGATGGATGGATGGATGGATAGAATGATATATGGATGGATGGATGGTTGGATGGATGGATACAGTAATGGATAGATGGATGGATGGATGGATAGATGGATGGATGGATGGATGGATGGATGGATGGATGGATGGATGGATGCAGCTCCACTAGTTGACTTTTACTTTGAAGCCAACCCTGTGACCGGAAGTGAGTTGGGTGATTTCCGCCTGCATCTTTACGCTCAGCGGCTCCGAGCAGCAGCAGCAGCAGCAGCAGCTACATAGAGCCGACCTGCTGATGAGAAACACCATCATCCGAGGAGGATCATGGAATAAACATGGCCCACAATAGAAGCATTTTCCTTGAAGGTAAGCTGCGACACTCCGCTCCGCTGCCCCGGCGCAAACAGCAGACATCTCACCCGCACACAGAGCTCGGATTCCGGCTTGTCGAGAGGCAGATTCTGGGTCCAAACACACAACAACAAAAAAAAAGGTCCAAAAATAAAAGAACCACAGCGGGTGCACAGATGTGCTAAGTGGCTAACTGTAGCCTCATAACACTGCCTTGCTGTTGCATGCTAACACCCTCCAATGAGCGCTGCCAGGCCGGTGACAGTGCCACATCCTCGGGCCCGGATGGAGGCGATGACACCCCGGCTGGTCCCGGCTAGCACCGTTAGCTTCACGTTAGCATGCTCTGGCTGTGAGGAGACAGGCCTTCTTGCCTTTAGCTTAGCTGTTAGCAGCCCCAAAACGTTCACACAACACATTTATATGCATAAACACTTTAGTAGGAATTAACATTAAAGCATTTAAAGTCGTTTCTGACGCTGAGCTAGCCCCCCCCCATGCTAGGAAGCTAACATTATAGCCAGCTTGAGATATTATTGACAAACAGTAATGTAGTGATACGCGCTGTGACATTAATCACTGTTTACTTGTTTTATATTTCACACTTTTAGTTCAGAGGCTTTGCACTTAAAAAACACAGATAAAATAAATAATAATATGCTGTAGGTTAATATTTTAATAGATATTATATACACATTTATGTCACTTTTAAATGCAGGATTTCTGCAGCTTGTAGTGCAAGACACGTTCAGGTGCAATCGGACAATAAAGTGTTATCTTATCTTACTTTTGTCGAAGCAGTAAAATAACACATGATTGAATCTGTTGTTTAACTTTTAATGTAAGCTCTGAACAACTCAAAAAAAAAAAATGATGAACAGATAACGGAGACAGTTTACAGGGTTAGACTTCTACGGTCCCTCAAATATATAAATAAATATAGTTTCACACACATGAACCTGAATTAGACACATGCACAATCAGGAACTATGAACATGCATTGATGGAGAGATGTCAGAGCCCGGGGGGGGGGGGGGGGCCTGCTTTACACAGGGAGCGCGCCAGAGCTGTCTGGGGGTTCGGTGCCTTGCTCAAGCGCACCTTGTCAGTACTCGGGAAGTGACCTGGCACCTCTCCAGCCGCCAGACCAACTTCCATTCTTTGGTCCACACATAGGCGGAATTAAACGTATTCACAAACAGGATCTGTGGACGTGCATTACAATTCTACAATTCACTTATCAGACTCTTTTCTCCAAAGCGACGTACATCAGAGAGTGAGAACAACACAAGCAAGGATCTAGAAAAAAGGGAACAATGTTAGTAAGAGCAAACGATCAGCTTTGAGTCTGATTGGACACACAGGTGCTGACAGGAAGTGACCAGAGGCAAAGCACAACATTGAGGGCAGTTCTTGAGAGCTCTAATCAGTATAGAAACCATCTTATAAGTCATCGTTATCAAACAAAAGCCATCGTCATTACCATCATCATCATCAATAATATGGAGACCATCATCATTAAGTTAGTAGGTAGGCATTAATGGAGAGATGTCAGAGTGAGGGGTGACATGGCACTAAGCGGCAACCTCCAGTCTTGAAAATGAAGCCAATGCTGAAATGCAAAATCCTGCAGTTCGTCGGGTGTCTGCTTGAGGCCGGCTCCAGGAGCCCCGGAAGTCACACGTGACCGGCTAAAAAGACATTTTTACAGCAGAAATAAACATGTTTACAGCCTGGTACAGAAAATGAAATAGGTCTGATTAGTTATTGTCATCACTGTGTTATCTATAGTTAGGCATGTAACTGACGTGATTGAGAGGTGGGCTCGATGTAACGGTCCATCAAGAGGTTTAAAACCCGCCTCAGCTCCAGCTCTCAGCCTGTCGTTAGGTCGACTGAACGTTAGACTGAGACAGGATTTCCAACATGGCGGCTGCTGCTGATGAGCCTCCTGCAGGAACAGACGGCTGACGTCACTCAGGCTTCGTGTGCCTGTCACCTCACCAAGCCAACTTCCATATTTTGGTGTGCGTTGGGGACTTAAACCGGTGTCTCTCTGGTTCCCAACTCAAGTCCTTACAGGCTGCCCCAATCCAGTTTGGACTGAAATCTGAGATTTTATTTTTAGGCCAGCCTGCCCAGCCCGAGAGCCAATCCTCCTAAAAAGAATGTCAACTGAAAATTGCAGGAACTTTAGCCGGCCAAATGTGGCTTTCACTTGTCCGTGCATGGGCTGCAAGTTTGGTTTGTTGGTTAGTTAAATTATTTGCCTAAAGTACTTCTTAAAAAAATGTGGACAGATGATAGAAGAGGTGTTTTTATTTACCTGTTTTAACCCCGAAACTTAAATGTGCCTTGTTAAAAATGACCACCAACTGCAGAGGAAATATTTCCATGATGCAAAAGATTTCATGAGGACTGATTGTTTTTGGTGTTTTGAACTTGTTAACTTGTGACGCTCCCTCCTGAGGGTTGAGGTCAGCTCTGAGTGACAACAAGCTGCTTTGGATCAAGCAGCGCTCTGACCTGTTTGGATGAACGGTGTTTCTGTGGTTGTATAGCTGTCGTTATGGGTCACATATCATGAATCCATCCCGCAGGAAATCCACTTAAGACAAAAATAAACAAGTGTGTTTAAAGCTCAGCGGGGACGTAAATGTCCCTGCTTGAACATTATCTTGTGAATCTTGTAGGAGAGATTGGAACGAGCTTCATTTGGCTCATGAATGATTGATGCGGAAGAGCTCTGGGATCAAAATCCAACATGTAGTTTTTAAACATTTGAAGAGTATTATTCCTTTTATTAAGATTCATGATCCACTGAAGATTGGCACCAGCTGTTTCCTGGATGTTCAGGTCGTTCTGCAGAAATCGTCCCGTCATTTCAAAGACATAAGCAGACATAATGAGCCTAATTTAAGGACAACAGACTCTCCAGAGAACAAGATTTTAACTAATATTTACCTTCTGGGGCTTGGAGCCAGAGGGACAACATGCTGTAACATGATTTTGTAGTTGCAGTTTGGCCAAATGTGGTAAACACCACAGTACTTATTGGATGTCTTTAATGATGCAGAACATGTATTTTTATGAACTCCTCGACTTAGCATCTGCATCCTCCGCTCTCTTGTTTATCATTGGCTGTTGTTTTTGATTTCCGCTTCATGAATTTCAGTTGATATTGGGAGGAAATGGCGAGGCCAGGGCGTCAACGACATCCAGCACATGTTACACATTATTAGAACAGTTTGTAATAGATGAGTGTATTTCTCATGCTTTCTTTGTCTGCGGATTATTGGAAATGAGCCCAGGGTTTCCCTTTGGCTCGGGAGATAAATCATTTTCTTATCGCCCAATGCTTAAAGGAATGTCATTCATTTCAGTACAGTTTCCCATGTAGCAGCAGCAGGCTTTAATCAGTCAACATTTGAGCTCCACTTCCTTTAAGATTCTTCACTTTTTTCTTGGTATCAGATCTGCATGTTCTCCATAATGTAAGTAAAAGAAAAATAGTGGAAGAACTGGATTCTAAATTGTGCACAATTCTGCTCTCAGAAATATAACTATGTCTCTCAGATTTTTAGGCAAACAGACGACTTTTGTAAATTTGCAAACAGAGCTTCACTGTGAATCTGTAAGTCTGTTTTATTCGGGATGCACTGATGCATCCGTTCAACATCGTATCGGTCGATATTGGACCTGTTGACAGACATCAGCACGTTGTAACACTGGTCTGCAGCACATGTAGCACGACATCACAACAGAGCAGATGATGGTCTAACTGGTTGATGATGTTTAAGAAAGCGCACTCTGGGAACCTGTGGATGGTTACATCTGTCTCGATCGATGTAAACATGGAGATCTGGTTAATGATCCCTTCAAATCTTCATCGATCTTACATCCCGTCACCAGCTTTAGTCAGGGCGAAATTCTAACAGATGTGTGTTCGTTCAGTCTGCGCTGCCGATGGCTTTTTATTTAATTCAATGAGTGTGCTTCCTCTGGCTCCGCTGTGCTGCGTCTCAGCTCCGTCATACAGACTCCTCTGCAGCCTCATTTGCAAGGCTTTTATTTCTGCAGGATGCCGGAGCACGGCGCATTAATTTACCACAGAAAAGATCAAACGGGACGCGAAATTCAGACTCGGAAACAACATTTAAATATCCGGTTTATTTTGAGACGGTTGAGAACATTGACCATATGCAATGTTTGTTGATGTGTGTATACCACATACATCGTATCATCTGGCGGCGCTGTTGCGTGTGTAATCTTTAATCACTGCGGTAACTCCAGCTGTCCGGCAGTGGTGCTCCGTTACAGGCTGCGGAGCACCACTGCCGGACAGCTGGAGACAGGCAATGCACACGTATCTGGTGGAAGTTCTGGGTTAGAAACACTCGGCTTGGAGCTGCACTGGGGAGCATGTATCTACCTGAATGTCTTCTACACTGGTGCTCACACAAAAATAGCCCAAACAGTGGTTTTTGTTGTGTCGAAAATCTGTTCAACTACTCACTTAAAGACGATCTAACAGTGAGAGAAAAATCTCTGAAAATGTGTGTACACATGTGCAGTACTTTTACACCTACTCTCACAAATCAGACTGTTTGATATTATAACACTAATCTTTATTTGCAGAAACATGTTTTTTTCCAGCTGATATAATGCATCCTGAAATAATCTGCATCTGAATGTGGAAAATGTTCCCTTTTGTCAAACATAACTGCAGTGACATGAGTGTAGTTTTGATGCTTTTGCATGTTTTTCTCTGTAGATTTCAGGCTCCTCTGTACTCATTGATGCTCAGCTGTCATTTAGTTTTGTTTGCCAGTGATGAACCCTTAAACTGAATGTCATTTTAAGGAATGGCTGTGTCTTGCCCCTGTATCCTTGCACTGACGGTGTGCTCTGGTTTTTATTGTTCAATCCAAGCCCTGGATAGGTCAGGCGCCAGGCGAGACGGAGGGTTCAAGCACAGCTGGAGCTTTTCTCACTCCGATGACAGTGAAGAGGAAAGGAGACATGAGTAAGCACTTCTTCTCCGGCCCCTCGTTTTTGTTTTCAGCAACCAGCGGCGCTGCACTGCATCACTTTCCCAGCACACAGCTCTGCCTCCACACACAGGAAAAGACCCCAGTGACACCTCCTGCTGATGAGCAGGCTATTCCCGTCTCTGATGAAGCACTCAGCAGCCTCTCTGGCACAGCGATACAGAGCTTAGCGCGCACATAAAATCAGCCTCTGCTCAGTTTTTACTACTCAGTAGGATCTATCCCAGCGATGACTTACTCCAATCACAGGTGGAAAGATAAGACAGAAACCTTTCTTTGCACCTTTTTTGAATTATTTAAAGGCTGTTTTTGTTTCAATCTTGACCTCAGTATAAACAGCGCTCTCTCTCAAAATCGTTTGCGGCAGCTTTTTGGTTAACGATTTGACAGAAGATCTGAATTTGTTGTTTTTATTTTGGGGCTTTTTGTGCCTTTATTTTAGAGACAGGACAGTGGATAGAGTCAGAAATCAGAGAGAGAGAGAGAGAGTGTGAGGAATGAGAAGCGGAAAAGGAGCTCTACAGGTCGGATTTGAACCTGGGCTGCTCGCTTGGACATGGGGCGCTCAAACCAACCACTAGGCTAGCTTAGCAGGGATGACATGCAGCAAAGGGGCGAGACCGGACCCTGAACCCACAGTCGCTGCGATGAGGACAATCGCCTCTGTACATGCGGCATCTGATATAACCATTAAGCATCTGGCGCCCCTTTCTGATTTTACCGACGGTCCCGTCTCTAAAATTAAGGCATAAAAAGACCAAAAAGTTGTCTGTCTGTATATTTAGTGTTATAATAGTTCAATTTAAAAAGAAAGCTGTGAGTTGAATTCTGTCATTTAACAGCAACACTGACGCACACAGATGAACATTATCAAACCATGTAAAATATTATAATTTAAAAACATGTTTCTAACCAGAGTCTGACCGTGATGTTTGTTTTTTGTCTCCTCCTCAGAGCGAGCGTGGTGAGCATGGAGGAGATGAACCGGCAGCAGCCCACCTCCCCCGAGGAGAAAAAGGTAAAAACATCTTTTTGACTCCCACTCGCTTCCATTAATCTGAAAACGGGCTGCAGCAGCTCGCTCTCCAAAGGCCCCGGCGCCCAGAGGACCCCCCAGCTGTCCTGGTGCTTCCACTGCTGAAGGTCTCCTCGAGGGCTGCTGGGACCGGGATTTGTTGATTTTGTTTTTTGTTCTTCTGAAGCGGATTGTGAATGCATTGTGTCATTCTCAATGTGTGTGTGTGTCCGTGTGTGTGTGTGTCTGTGTGTCCGTGTGTGTCCGTCCTCAGACTCCCTCTCTCCGGCACTTCACGGCCTCGGATCCTCTGAGGACGTATGAAAACCGGCCGAACAGTCACATGAGGCCTCTGAACCGGCTGACCCCCAAGAGGCTCAGGTACACTTTTAAGGCTGGTTTCACACTTTAGACCCCCGGTGCCCGGATCCGAGTACGCTTCACCCCAAAGTCCGGCTTCATCCTCTGAGCTGCACGCTAGACGTGGATGTAGGAAGAGGGTCGTTGTTGGCGTCGCAAAAAAACACAAAAAACATCCACAGTTAGCTGAATCGACTCAGCCTGCAAGTGGTTGCCATGGTTACTTCTTCTTTGTGGATTTGTGCATACTGCCCCCCTGCTGGATCATTGTTAAGGCCCTGACACACCAAGAAGGAGCCACGGTGGGGCCTTTTTGTCGCTACTAGTTCTTTGCCGCCTGCTTGGTGTGTCAGGGCGCAGACCGGCCGGGGGGGAGGAGGCGTATTTAGACGCTCTGTTGATGCTCAGGCGGAGTTTCTTCTGGGAGCCGAGAAGATAAAATATGAAATGTTTCTGTGGTTAAGATGTGAAAACACTTAACATATAGCAAAGGTTAAAGGTCACTGCAGTTTATTCACAAGTTCATAAAGAGCCATGTTTCATTTCCTTCATGATGATGTTTAAGCTAATTATGAAAAATAATGATGGTCATAAAGAGAGATGGATAGCCCGGCCTTTATGGTCATTGCAGGGTTGAAGGTCAATCCTAACGATCCCCGCTGTAATCATCTGTCGTGTGAGGTGTCGTCACGCTACGCTGATGTTTGAGGTGACATTTACATTTGTGTCCCGCAGCGAGGTCCCTCTCACCGTAGCAGCAACGTCCTCCCCCATGCCCAACAGAACCAACTATTTCATCATCAGCCCCGCGCCTTCACAGGGAATCGTTTTACAAGGGCGACACTTTCAGCACGCACAGATGCCCTCGGCGATAAGGAAACCAGTCCAAAGGTAAGACGCCGCCGCTCCACCTTTACCTGCTTTTTTTTTGATACAGAATACGTTTCAGTGAAGTGAAAAAATAAGAAGCTCTCTGAGGCGCTCTTTTGTCTGAGTTTTGGAAGCGGGATTTTAAACCGGAAGTATGATGTTGCCATGGATACAGTGAGACATGATGTGTGTTTCTTCTCTAAAAATGTGTTTTACATTTTGGCTAACTCGCTCCATAAGAAGTTAGCCGAATTAGCTGTTAGCCGTCTCTTAATCCAGGGGCGACTCGGTAAACACCCGTTCTGACCAAAGTCAGCGGAGGTCCGATTATCAGATGGATCCAAAGACGATCCGTCCAGATGTTCCCGTGCTGTGAGGTTTGTGTTCACAGGGAGTTTGACCTCCCCGATCTGCTCGGAAGACGATCAGGGCCGCTCCCGTTTGAAGGTTCAGAAATCCTGTTGTGTGGAGGCAAAACCCGAGGACAGCTGAGCACGCTCTCTGTGCATTGTCATGTGGAACGGAACTATAGCCAATCAGGAAGCAAGCTGACAACACACATAACCATGGCGACGACAGCATAAAGTTAGAGGGACGTCAGAAATGGAGGAGCAACTAAGAGTGTTTATACGACGTGTCCTGTAAAGCAAACTGACGCCGCCTGTACCCGGTAGCTAACAGCTAGCCACCTTTAGCTTGACTGTCATGGTTGTTTACTCCTAAATGGCCTTTGACCCCGTGAGATTAAGACATTTGAGAGCGGAGGCTCTGGCTGTCAGTGAATGCATCGTCGTGAGTGTGCTCTCTCACATCTTTTTAAATCATTTAAGATTTTAATGAAGCGAGTACCTAGGATTAAGACAGCGTGCAGAAGTTTGTGTTCAACTTTTGGGTTGTTAAAAAGAATAAATTCCACACAAATTTCTGTTGCCATGGTAACAAATCGGGTCTTGATATTGTATAGAAGTTTAAACTTCTGGCTCTGTACGAGCAGCTCGTTGTCTCAGGTTGCTTTCACTTTAACGTCGGCTGTAAAAACTTGAATAATGACGCACGCTGTGATGGCGTTTCTCTCTGTTCTTTTGTTGTTGTTTTTGTCTTCAAGCAGCCTTGATTTGAAGGACAGGTGAGACTTTCCCAGCTGATTCTTACTTATCAGACTAGATCTCGTTTCATTCTTCATCCATGTCCTGCAGCATGTAACATTTACTTCATTGGGTCCCCGTGTCCACCTAGCGGTTTTTTTTTTTTCTGAGTGCAGTAAGAAGTAACTGAGCAGTGTCGGCTATATAGCGGCCGTTGTCAACAGACTGTTGTCATGGAGACAGGACGAGCGTGCAGCAATTGTCTACATGCAAGAACCGCTAGGTGGACACGGGACGTGACTCTTCATGTCAGGGAGTTCTCTCGTTTGTCCTGTCATGACATGTTGTTTGCCTCAAAGGCTGCAGAGAGCTGGTTAAACCTCGGCCTTGAGTTGTGAATGTTTCTTCTCTGACTCGTGGCTACAGCCTGGCTGATGATTAGCCCACCTCAGCTCTGTTTTTACAAGCGGTGGTGAGATATCTGCAGTGTCATGCCTGTTTTCTTAGTCAACGTGCATCCGTACAGTGACCTTTGACTTCAATCTGCTGAGTGTATTTACATCCAAACCCCCCGCCCCCCACTCCCTCCCCGCCCCCCACTCCCTCCCCCGCCCCATACTCTGCGGTACTTGTTTTCACTGCTCTTCTTTGAACCCTTTCAGCTGTGTGTGTTTTTTTGTTCTCAACACATCCGTACCGGAACAAGCCTTCTGTTTGTTGACTAAAAGCTACACTGAGCCGCTGTTGAAGACAAAACTGAACTTAAAAAAGAAAAGAAAGTTGATGTCTGTGAACTTACACCGCACAGTATGTAGATTCCTGCCACCAGGGGGCTCTCAATGTAAACAATAACAGAAGATGATGTTGAGACTGGCGGGGAATCATGGGAGTGATTCTCTCTGCTCATCCCCCCCACCCCGCGATGAAAAGGTCCTCCAAGTTGAGCGTAGTCATGACGACCGGGTGAAACTGACCATGAGGAAGAGAATGTTTACAGACGAGCTGATGTATCAGAGTATAAGCTGCATGATGTTTTTATCACAGCGACAGAACGGCAGCTTTCAGCAGCAGCTCACGCTTCATCATGCAGCGGCCTCTCACGAAACAGTGTTTCCACGGCAACGGTGAACATGT